CTGTGTATGTGTTGCTGGAGGGGGCCTGCCGTGAGGAAATGCAATGGGCCACAGTGCACAGGGGACTCTAGAGGGATGGAGAGGAAGTAGTGCATGGGACAAGCACTCCAGTTGCGGGGAACTGTGGCACACAGGTCTTTGGTGCAGGGAAATGAGGGGAGCGCATTTCATGGCGAGCAGAGCTGGGCTGTCCGTGGGGAAACTGGCCAAAGACCAGGACCCGTGCAGTTCCCCCCAACTGATCTCTTCACCCGGGCTCTGTATTTCACATAAAGGAAAATCCCCAAGGGTTACCCTACCTCAGTGCAATCTTCCCGGAAGCCCTCTTCTTGACCATTTAACTTGCTAATATTCCCCCAAGAATGCAATGCTCCTTCTATGTCAACCACAGGCAGGCAATAAAACCCACATACAAGGTTATATCAATTCTGCCAAAATTTTGGCAAATAGTACAATGAAATTAATGCAGGTAGTTGCACCTGACTGCCATGGCCACTGACAATTTTTAGAAAACATGATTTTTATCTTAAGCATTTGTTCTTGCCACACACATTGAAAAATGTGCTAATTCTGATTCAAAAAAGGTATTTGTTCTGTGATAATGTCTGAAGTTAACGTAAAACAATGCACCGTATATATGATGCTTCAATAGCACTAGATGTTACATTATTTGATTTTAAAACCCTAGTATATTCAGCTAAAATTCAATGATGATGTGATCAAAAGAAGTACATCTGGTAAAGAGACTTTATCTTGATGTTAAAGACATCTACAAAATTAAAACAAAAATAAAAGCAACAGAATTATGCATCTTGGTTTTTTTCAAATTGTCAGCTCCTTTGCAAAACTAACTGCAGAATTTAAAAACAGTGAAAAAGAATTGAGGTTGCTGATGAAGCCATAGCTTTGGTGATAACTCAGACCCAAATTTTAGATCTGGAGTTGCTCCAGACCTAAACAATTTACTCATGCCTGATGATCCCACTTATGTGCAGGTCTTTATGGCTCCAGCAAACTCTTCACTCATTGCGCAGACACCTGTACATCTTCACCTGCTAACCAGTGACACAGCCTCCAGAATCGCAGGAACACACAAACCACCAAAGTACGACAAACTGACAGAAAGTTGGTAGGTTCCGGAAATATCAGGACACAAGTAAAGGGTCGGTTAACAAGATGGACAGAGAATGGTTTAGCTAGTTGGCATAACCTTGAAAGGGAAAACATTTCCTGAGAAAACAGCAGCCTGGAAGCCTGTTTGAAGCCTGGACCCTGGCGTTTTAGTAGCGGAGAGCCTTTTGAGAGGGCTATGTATGTATTTTCAGGGGAGGGGGGTAAGTATCTTCATGAGCCACCAAGTGTGAGTTAGAGCAGGAGACAGGGGAAGCTTCATTCAGCAAAGAAACTGAAGATTCAGGGTTTGGACCCAGAGACCCTGAAAACATTTTGGATCAGATCAGAGCAGGTGGAGATCAGGAGGGGATTAGAAGCCCTTGGGTAATAGATAATTAAGGGGCTATGATTGAGCTAAGAAGCTGTGGTCAGATTAGTCCTGATGGTCCCTGGACACTAAGGGGGAAAGGTGCTGGATTTCTGAGTTTAAATCCCGGGTGGCAAATCCCAGGCAGCTAGTCCACTGGGAAGCAGCAGGGGAAGGAAAAAGGGCTATTCCCTCAGCTGCGCATGGTGGAATGTGGCAGCTGTAGCGTGGCTGTCAAACACCTGACCCTGCTGTAGCAGTGCATCCTCCTGAGCAGGCCTGCAACCTTGGTTTTTAGGGCAGTTTTCTGCTAGGAAACCCACCACACATTTTACTAATCTGAGGAACACATGTCATTCTATCCCCATTAGCACTACATGTCAAAGCACAAGTATTGACAATGATTGTTTTTTTTTGCTTTAGTTTGAACTTCTTTACAATACTACTTCCTTTGCTAACTTTTTTGTTTCTAAAATTGTGAACCTTCAAGTTGAACTTTTTTTGTTCTTTTTGTTTGTTTGTTGTTTATTAAAAGATCATTTTACTGGGTGCTCTTACAACTCTTATAACAATCCATACATCAATTGTATCAAGCATATTTGTGCATATGTTGCCATCATTCTTTTCTAGACATTTACTTTCTATTTGAGCCTTTGGTATCACCTCCTCTTTTTTCACTCCCCCTGCCCCCGTGAACCCTTGATAAATTAATATTATTTTCATATCTTACACCATCCACTGTCTCCCTTCCCCCAATTTTGTTGTTCACACACACACACATACCTGGTGGGGGGTATTATGTGTCGATCACAATAATTAATTTTTATCTACATTCTTTTTTTATTTTTCCTTCCACTCAACTTAGACAATAAATATCTCTAGCGCAAGTGGAAAAATGAAGGGTATCTAATATTAGAATGCCAAAACTGGGCCGAGGGAACACTGTCCAGATGGCTGACACCTCTCGCCTGCTCACCACCCGGTATATAGGAATCAAGGGTCTGCCCCATGCCACAGCCGTGTGAACCATCTGAATTACATTTTCAGTCCTACTTCCACTTCACAAAGCTTAGGGAGAGAAATCATTTTAGTGCATTCCACCTGCTTTCCCCGAGTTCTTCAAGAAAAAGGGAGAGAGATCTGAATTTGATCCACAAAAGTCACTCCATTCATAGACTTGCAGAAAGATGCCCATCTTTGGTGTTGGTACCTTTGCTATTCCCTGTGTGACCTGTGGCTGTCTACTCTGGTCTCCTCCATTTTCCTTACAGAGTAGCTGACTTACACCTTGATTATACCCTGAAGTTCCTTAAGTTCCCAGAGATCACAAATTAGAAAACTGAATTTGAAGGCAAAAATAAAGTGAATTAAGATCAGAACTTGCCTTGTAAAGAATGAGATCATGGCAGAACTCACTCTAGTGTTAGTGGTGACAAACTGAGATCATGGGTGGGGACATGGTTGTTGTACAGCAAAGGTGAAGTTGGTTTGGCAGCTACTGAGATAATATCAAGTCTTTAGATAAATGAAAGACTGCAGCATGTAATTCTGACCATCATTTTATCTTCACAAGCACAAATATATATTTAAAAGGCCATGGGAAATAGATATGAAGTTGATTAATAAACAGAATAATAACATCCCATTACTCATGTGAAATGAACATAGGAACTTTTTAAGAACATGCTAGCTTGCTTTCCAGCAAGAATGTGGGAAGTTTCCAGAACAGAAATTTGGAAACTTGTACTTGTGTTATTAAAAGTGCTATTGGAGAGGAACATGGCTATTGATCAGGCACCTGCAGTGTCTGGATGGGGGAGCACTCTCCAGGGTTGGAGCCACAGGACTGGATGCCAGGTGTGTTTATCTGAAGCCACGAAAGAGCTCTGAGAGTATGTAGTATGGATTGCCACTAAAATCAAAACACAAAGATTTTATATAACCTGGTCTGGGAGACCAAATGATCAATGGCAGTAAAGTTCCTACTTATATAGATTAAAATATATATATTTTATGTGTGAACAAGATAAAATTCAAACTTCTGAACTTGGCACAGGATCCCGCATGACTGCCCACATCTTCCTCTAGCAGCATCCTTGCACCTCTGGGCACCACCTCCTACTTCTGGAGGGTTTCCCATCCTCCAAGAGGCCTGCCCAACCCTTCTTGCCCACCACCAATCCCTGGCTGAGGTGCCCCGCTGTAGACTCTCATAGGACTCTCTGTTTACATCCATCCTTGCATCTACCACTCTCTCCTAGCTCAATTTTCATATGTTTATCTCCCTCAACTAGACTGTAAACTCTTTGAAGATAGAGAACTGTTTCCTACTATAGTGCCTAGCACATGTTGTTGTATGCTGTGGCCTTGATTCTGATTCATAGCTCTCCTATAGGGCAGAGTAGAATTTTCCCACACTATAGGGTTTCTTAGACCCATCTCTTCCAGGAGAAATCACCAAGTCTTTTCTCCTACAGAGTCACTGATGGGTTTGAACTTCTTGCCCTTTGGCTGGTAACCAAGTGCTTAACTATTACACCACCAGGGGTCCTAAGCACATCGAGGGCTCTAAAAATATTTGTTGGTTGAATGAATGGTTGTTTTAAGGAAATGCTATACAAAATATAGACATAGTTATAAAACCATGCTGCAACTCCATGTATGGTTTTTTTGTGTGAAGAAATGTTTGTAAGCTGTCCTGGATCCTTTCCCAAATTCAGCATCAACAAAACATCATTCTCACCAGGAGAAAGTGGCAGTCTGTGGTTCAGGGTTCCAGAGCCAGCTCTCTGCCTCCGTCTGACCAGGGTACCAGACGGCTCATTTCTTAACCGTGCATGTAACCGCTTGTGTTGCTACCATATATAAAAAGCCCTCCTCCCTTCTCCAGATAGCATCTCACTTATGAGTTTAGCCATCTACTATGGAGTTGGACTAAATGAGGAGAAAAGTAGTCGTAAGGTTCTCAGCGTAGAACTTCTCTATGGGCTCATCAAAATGTTATGTGGAAATGTCTGTTTTATATATGTGGAAGAAGAGGGAAAGGGAGAGTGGCGGGACCCTTTAACTTACAGAATGTTCTCTTTTCTAGTCATTAGGACCTTTGGTTTATGATTTCATTTCATGGGACTTGAATGCAATATAGATTTTTTTTAATGCCTATTATGTAAATTATGATTCTCTTGGCAGTCATAAAGTAGTTAACTGGAGGCGTAGCATGCTGGGATGCCATCATTCCCAGAGAATACTTCATAGTATAAATCAGAATAACTTTTAAAACTGGTGATTTCATGAGCTGGAATATTGTTTTCAGGAGCCTAGGGGAAGAGGTTACATGCTCCTAGTATAAACTAACTGTATTCTCATTGTGGATTAGTGAAGTGAACGTTAAGAATGCTAGAAAGTTAAGTAAGACTGAATACAATTACATCGCATTGCCTATCTCATGTCATTAATGATAAGTTATTTGAAAATAAAATATAATAAAAGTAACAACTGGTTTTCTTCATTAAATCTTTAGAAAACAATTTGAAGAAATGGCGTCTTACTTTAATGTATCATCTGTAAAGGAATTTGCGGAGCATGTCACTGATGCCACATCAGAAGAGCGACAAAAAATGCTCAGAGACTTTTATGTTTCTCAGCATCCAGAAGTGAAAGATTTTTTTGTTGTTTCTGCTTCAGAATTAGCCAAACCTGCACATGAGAAAAGAAAGAAAGTCAAGGATGAATCCGGAAAAAGGAAATATCTTACAAAGGAAAGACTGTTAGAATCTGAAGCTTTGTCCTATAAGGTCTCAACCAACAAAATTTCTCAAATATGCAGCCCGAAAATATATAAAGAAAAATCACTCAAGTTTCAGAATTATGAATTCTGTGAAGAGCCTTTTTCTAATGATCAAGAAGCTAAAAATTTACCTGCTAGTTCTACCCAAATGATTGACAAGGGAATAAAAAGCCAATTAGCCAAAGATACGGTGGCATCCTATGTCATAAACTCTAAATCTAAAGCATATGAGAGAAAGTTAGAAGATGCCATGAGAGACCAACAGGATATAACAAAACCTGGTGTTTCAAGAAATGGACACCTTTTCAAATCAGAAACAGAAAAGCTAGACAACCCCGTGTTAGAAAACACTTGTGTGGGAGAATTACTTGGTGACACCTCTATTCTTGACGACCTCTTTAAAAGTCAGGGGACCAGCCTCACACAGTTGCCAAAGAAAGTTCTTTCAGGGAGCATAAAAAAGGCAAAGCAGAGACCAAAAGATTTCTGGGACATATTGAATGAGCAGAATGAAGACAGCCTTAGTAAACTCACCAACTTGGCAGTCATCGAGGGCTTATGCGAAAAAGTACCCCTTACCACATCCTCAAAAAGGAACAAAGAGCTAGAAACTTCTCTTTGGAAATCAAATGAGAAGTTTTTATGGAAAAAATTGTAACTGAAGTAATACAGATAAAAGCAAAACCAGTATACAAAGTAATACGTAAACATACCACTGTATTACTACCCCATTATTACATGGATTTCTGCCACGAATGTTTACAGCACTCTATTTCACACAAATTATATTGCCTTCATCATTATCAATTTCCATTTTTATTAAATTATTGCTCTAGGTTATTTTAAGTCTACAACATTTTCACGTATTTGATTTCTCTGATCATGTTATCATGTAAGCCTCTGTTATGAAATAGAAAGAATCTAGATTTATAATCAGGAGACCTAGGGTGTGACACTGTTTGTGTAATTATGTGACTTTGGATAGGTCACTTAGCCTGGGTGCCTTCACTTTGAAAGATGAAGGGTTTCATATAGATCATGAGTGCCCTTCTACTTAAGAAAAAGTTTTAATTCACTCTTCCAGATTCCATTAAATCATAGGCCAAATCATGCCCCATCCCCAAGCCAGGTAAAAACTGTGCTATGTTTCTCATTTTCCTTTCTTACTAGCATTTGGAAAGTCACGAAATTGTTTTCCTTATCCCTCAGTATCATGTTCTACTATTATTAAATTATTTTCAATGAAAGTCGTAACTGGTATTTTGTGGCCATATGCTAAAGTGATAATTGTATAGCAGTTTTATAACTTGATTGAAACTAAAGTAACATATTTAGTACCATTAGCTACAAAACACCAGTGCTCAGTTTTTATTGAAGAATTATGATTTGATTGATATAGAGATTTGTATACTGCTTCTGTATTGTTTTAAGTGTGAAGAATGAGTAAACATTTGATTTTATTTGGGATTTATATTTTGCTGAATTTAATTTCTGTGGTGTAGAAATAATACTAGAAAGTATCATTGTTGAATTTATGTAGAAGCATACTCTCAGCCCCTGTGTATACTATGCATGTGTGCATATTGTGCATGCAGTGTATTCACTAGGGCTTAAAGATGAACAGATGCGGCACAGCTACATGTGAAAGAAATGAAATCATGTCTGTGAAGCCCCTTACAGTATGCCTGTGACTTGTAACAGGGACCTGAGATTCTACTGGCCCTTTTCAGATGGACATCTCACCTTTCCCTCGGTTGAGCTCACAGGGCTGTAATAGCAGGAAGTGCCCATCCAGGAATGGCAGTTAACCAAGAAATAATCCTGTACAGGGATCGCTGTTACTAAGTTGAGGAGATCGGACCTTTACCATACCCGAGAAGTAGAGAGATTGCTTAGGAATACAAGGGAAAAACATTTATATCAGGGCCCCATACATTTGTACACATACATATTTTTGTTTGAAATAAAATCTTTATAGAACAATATGTAACACTTTATTCTCTTCTATTCCATTTCTATTGTTTGTTGTTTATTATTTTTAATACTCTACCCATTAAATTGATTTATGACCCTTTATTATGAGTAGATACCACAGTCTGAACACACACTGCTTTAGGTTATACATTTATCTACTTGAAGCTACATTATATCCTACATTATCAGATGCTACCCTGTCCCAGTGCTGGCCTTTCTAGAAAACGTATGGGTTATATGGTCTATAGAAGAGTTGGCATGTAGAGATCATTAGCCTGCTGTGTGACTCATTACATAAGGATCTTTGATAAGCCAAGAGGTGCTTCTTGTATCTCATTGTGTAGAAAGACAGTATATTTCAGATATATTAACAAAAGTACATCTTGCATAAAATAAAATACTTTCAATATTTTTACATAGACATGGAATATTAGCTCTATATTCGTCATACATAAACAGTTTACAGAGTTTTACCAGTGAGAGTCAAATGAGAACAAAATTGCAGACCTGGCATTAAATAATTAAGTAGTTGTCAGGTCAACATTTGTCATTATCATGCAAGAGACTCAAGATGGCGTCCAGATAGAATCACCCACCTGATGCTTCTGTTGTTGGATTGGGAATTGAAGAGGTAAGGAGGCCAATATTGGGAGGCCAGGTGCTAGAAATAGAATCCCAGTGTCCTCGGGGTTGTGGCTCAGATCTCCCCTTGTGATCTTTCACCACGGAGAGATTTGAGGGCTTGCTGAGATGCTCTAAGTTCACCACATCTGCCCCTGCACGTTCCACATCCCAACCAGGTCCAGTGGGACAGTGTCTGCCACTCCTTCCTGTGTCCAAGATCCAAGACCCACAGTGAGTGTGCAGTAATTTCCCCAAGACTGCTGTCTAAAGGTGATCATTATCCCAGGCTAGAGGAGAACTTCAGAAAACAAGCCACAAGAGCTTACACCATAGCTTCCCTCTCTGGTAATCATTCCTGCGTGAATCATTATTTGATCTATTTTTCTTTCGTGAAGAAATGTCATGTCTTTAGCGCGGTGACTGCTGGCTGCATCCCAGACTAGCAGACCTCTTTGCCTCCCTCACATAACAAGCGGCAGCATTAAATCGACCCACTTCCTTAAACTGCTTGTGTGGCCCAGGCTTTTTCAGTTTCAAGAATAAAAAATGCTGAAAACACGTTCAATCTTTTCCTTCTTGCCCTTAGAAATGATTAAAGGTGGGGTTTTAGTGCCATCTAGATGAATTACCAAAATACAGGAAACACGTGCACTTTCGTAAGCAGTGGAGGGAATGTACACTGAGGAGGCACCCCGTTGTTCAATTGTTGTTTGAGATAGTTGGCCCATATACACTGCGATTTCATTCATAGCAATCATGTTGGAAAGGTTGTACTTAGAGAAGTCAGCATCATCAATAAAGGACTTGAATGCAAGTGCTTGCTTAATAACGAGCATCTTCCAGCCTAGACAATGTTGTGGATCTTCCTAAAGACAGTTCACTTTGCTGAAGGAAATTATCCAGCCAGGGTTGTGATACTTTGGTGTCTTCCGGGCCTATGTCAAACTGTGGTGCTGTTCCAAGGGCAAATTCTTGAATCTGAGCCCTATTCACAACCAAAGCCTTTGCTCTCCTGTCAACAACCCATTCACAGATCAGGTGTTCCAGCTCGGAAAATAATGGTTGCCGACCTGATCCACACTTGCGCTTTTTAGCATTTCCCTTGTCCACTTGTTCAATGAGGTTACCATACTCTGCTCGCCATTTCCGGACCAATCAGATACTCAACATCTTCTTTTTGCAGAAAGCAATAAGATTTTGGCCCCAAGAGTCTTCCACAATTCTTTTCTTGTACTCCATGGAGTAGCTTTTTCTTTTTGCGCTCATGTCTAGGGGTAAAAAAAAAAAAAGACACTGGGGTATCAGGGTGGGGGGAGGGGATCACTTAAAATGACACGGGAGGATCAGAGGGGGGAATAAAAATGACACAGGAGAATCAGAGGGGTGATTACCATTTTATAACCCCTTCTGATCCTCCTGTGTCATTTTAAGTGATGCTTCAGTGCCATTTTAAGTGATCCCCCTCCCCCCACCCCTGTGCCAGTGGACACCTTCACCAGACATCCCCCCACCTCTTTATCAGACATTACCCCCCTACCTCAGTCACGCCTGTGTTTCCACACAATGTGCCTGACTCCTGCCCTGTGCGACTCACTGTCTAATTGTGAGTCAGCCAGACTCTGTCAGGGGAGAGCAAGCAGCAGGCGTCAGCGCAGGCTCTCTGATTAAAAGAGACCTTGCTCTTCCTGTCTGCTCCAGCTGCACTGCGGCCAACATTGAGCTGCACTGCAGTGCCTGCCACTACAGTCCAGAGTTTAGAGTTATAGTAGCTTCGTGGGGCCTTATTATTGGGGAGGTCTTATTTTCAGGGGTTACCTTGTATTTCAGCGAGAGGAAAAACTGTAAGTAGGTCTTATTTTCGGGGGATGTCATACTTTCGGGGAAGCACAGTAGGATAAGCAATCCCAAGGAGACAGCATTAGGACCAACGGTTGCAGAGGTGCATGGGAGAGGAGGAGGAGGGAGCAACAAGCAAATAGCAACAAGGACAGGAGAATAATAAGGTCTAAAAGTGTGGTGAGGAGGGTGTAGCATTCCTGATCTTGTTAGCACAATTGAAATGTATCTGAGAGGAATTACTGAGAGGTGAAACAATAGGTAAACATGATAGTGGGGCTGGAGGAAAGAATAAGAAACTAAAAATTATATATATAGGTATAAATACAGATATGTATATATGCAAATATATAGAGTTGTATTTATATATGATATGTACATATATATATAAGGAAGCAGATGGACCTTGGTCCTCTATTTAAATCTTACCTTAGTACGAGAACAGATTGTTCAAACAATGTGTCATTGTATGATACACACCTTTTTTTAAAATCATTTTATTTGGGGCTCATACAACTCTTATCACAATCCATACATACATCAATTGTGTAAAGCACATTTGTACATTCATTGCCCTCATCACTCTCAAAACATT